GCCAGAAGTCGCCTCAAGCAAGGTTAGTGTTCTCTCTCTTCATACTGTTCTGTACTTTACTCATATTTTTTTGGTATAAAAAAAATACATATGGTTCAGAACAGATTAACCGTATTTACATTGAACCTTATGGGAAAACTTGATTCGGTTTGCGACCAATTCAGTTCGCGACCAGAGTCATGGAACGAATTAAGTTCGTGAACCGAGGTACCACTGTATTTGCGACCAATTCAGTTCGCGACCAGAGTCATGGAACGAATTAAGTTCGTGAACCGAGGTACCACTGTATTGTATTTCATAGATCCAGGTAGGAATGACAATGGCTTCATCCAGTAAAGTTAATTGTAGCTTACAGAGAGGTGGGTGGTGATAAAAGCCAAATGCACAAGATTAAGTTAAAACGTCTTATAGGTTTCTCCTTTTGAAGGGAAGATGTGAAGAAGAATGTTCAAGGTCAGTTTCAGCCAAAGGCTGCTTGGAACTATTTTATATCTTTCACAGAAAGACATTTGAACCTGGCAATGGGTGGGTATCCAGAAAGCAGGCTTTTGGAATCTGCTGCCAAGCACATATTCAGAATGATAGTCAAAATAGTTGTAGATCTAGTAAGAAACGGGATTTGGGATTCCCGTTGTACAGACCTTTAGAGACCTTGCCGCAATGTCTTCGGGTGTCAAGAAAAATGTATCATCGAGGTCCAGAGTCTGAAGCTCCTCATGGGTCGTAAAAAACAGCAAGAACAAGCACTCTTCTGCACCAACATTCTTGACCCAATGCAAGGTATTTCGAGGAAAGAAAATAATCTGTCCTGCCGTGACATTGTACGTAGTCACTGTATCTCCACCAGCATCAACTACCCCAATCCACGCAGTTCCCTGAAACACAGCAGCAACAAAACAATATATTATGATTGGCCAGGAAGTAACGTGGGGAGAGAATACCCTGCAAATGATGAAATAAAACAGTCTGAAATTGACTTGCCATGAACAGTACCTGCACCAAAGTTTATGATCTAAGTAAACATATTTATTTACAAGCATATTTATATGGCTGTAAAAAAGCCATCATGTGTAATGGGCAGTAGGAATAACCTTGAGGATCAGGTGGAATAGCCACAATCATGGAGATGGTCAGATAAACAACATCGGAGTCCGAGGCAGAAATGTAATTTGAGAAAGTGTCTCAGATTGGACCCTCCCTAGTTCTCATGAAGATAAAGGGATGGAGGGAGGGAAGGGGAAAACACATTCAGATTTGCAAGATTGACGTCAGCCCTTCAAGGCAGACCAGACTAGGAAACCAGAGTTAGGAACACTAATGCTACTTTCATTATAAGGTTACAGTAACACAGTGTTGTCCAAACTTGGCCACTTTAAGATGAGTGGACTTCAACTCCCAGAATTCCCAGCCAGCCATGTCATCTTAAAGTGGCCAAGTTTGGACAACACTGCAGTAACAGAATCTTGCAAGTCTGAATGTGCATGCTTTCTTCACGTATCTCTCACACCTGGACTGGGGACTCCCTTCTCAGTTAAACCAAACTCCTTATCCCGTGCTTTCTTCCCACAGTCTCTCACAGTTCTCATATTCTTATCTTGACCGTAAGGACTCCCGTTACCAATCCTCGATCTTTACAACCTGGCAGATTATTTAACAAGGTATTGCTGCATTCTTTTTAAACATATCTTGGTTAAAGAGTCACAGATGCAGATTTCCTTCCCAACTGTTATTTCATAAGGTTCTTGGGAGAAAATGCTGCCTGCCTAGCTAACTGCTATTGGATTTTGCCCTCCCCTGTTTGTTTGGAGTTTTTTTGGGGGAAAGGGGGAATTAAGTGCTCTATGTGCACGCACAGGTATTTCAGTAACCACTTTTCTTCCACTCTTTCACTGCTAGTTGCCATTATGTTCTTTGCCCCCTCCCCAGTTATTTAAAAGTCATTAGGTAAATAAAAACATTAATTTCAAAATTACCTTTAAGAGGTAACCCTGTTCATTGGCATTGAAATGCCAGTGCGGAACACGTAACCCTTTGCTTTTGATCAGAAGAGTTCCAAACATCATCTTGGAACGCTGAGCATTGATACTTGTTCCAAACGCCATCTCTTCCTTGTTCTGGTATTCATCAGCATTCTTCCGAAATCTTGACCACTGAATAGCACCTCCTGGAAACTGGTGCTTCTGGAAAGTTGTACATGCACGATCATATTAATGGTTTTTACATAGTTCATAAGTGTTTTTAAAAAATCCAAGGAAGATTGGCTCGCTCTAGATATCAAAGGATATTTACTTGGTGGATAAATCGGGAAATACCAATTAATCAGATGATATCTGTTTATTTAATTTCTCAACTATTAAAACTACAAGCCTTTTCATCACTGGCATTTTCTCTTTCATGAATCTGATCGACCGATCAACAGTTTGAATCTCTTTTGATCTTTGTGGTTTTAGACAGCCTGAAGCAGCAGTTGTTCAGAGAGAACCGTGTCTGTGCCTGTTTGCACCCAGTTTCTGAAAAAGTTCACTAAGGTTTGAACATTGTGAAATAGTCAGTGAAGATAACACTAGAGCCGTGTTTCTCAACCTTGGCAACTTGAAGATGCATGGACTTCAAGTCCCACATGCTGGCTAGGGAATTCTGGGAGTTGAAGTCCACACATCCTCAAGCTGCCAAGGTTGAGAAACACTGCATAGAGAGTTCATCAATAAAGCACAGATCCAGGATGGATCCTTCAACCAGGGCTGATGCAAGCCGGTGTGCAAATTGTGCACTGCACAAAGGCGTATGATAAAGGGGGCACCAAACAACAGGAATGTGGGATTGCTAGTTGCCTAGCACCACACTGCAGGGCACCAGGCTGGGAGAAGAAGCCCTTCCAGTTACTACTCCACACGTCTGCCCAAGCGCTGTAGAAGAAAAAGGGAGAATAAAGTGCCGGGAAGCCACAGCTGCCACGTGACATGACTTGATGCTCTGATGGCAAAAAACGTTTTGCACGAAGGGGCCTTACAGATCAGTGGCAGCCCTGGCTTCAACCTATGAGTTTTTGCCAGGCCTAGGTTAAAGAACCTACCCATTCTTTGAGCTCAGCTTCCACAAAGAGCAGCAAATTAGTCAGGGAAGAGAAATTAATGTTCCCAAATATTTGTCCTGTGCAAAACAAATATGGAAGAAATAATCTAGTTATACCTTGGATTTAGTGAGATGGTGGAGAAACTGGTACTTGGGGTCCACGTGGGTTTTGGGGTCAGATGTTACTGATCCATGGTTCTCTGGATTCATTTCATGCTTCGGTTCCCTTTTAAAGTGAGGGTTGCTAACATACACCAGAGACACAGTCAGCATCCCCGCCATGGTGATTATTGCACAGGCCAACAGACAAACCAGAAAGACTTGGAGAAGAGACCAGTGGGTCTTTTTCACCTTCCGAATAGAACGGAACAAAAAGGAAGAATTACAAGGCAACTCTGTAAAACTGGAGTCACAGCAATACTGCTATATTCCTGTTAGGTCTGCATAACTGTACCAAACTGTAAGTAAGAGCCAGTTTGGTGCAGTCGTTAAGGCCCCAGGCTAGAGACTGGGAGACCTTCAGTTCTAGTCCTGCCTTGGGCATAGAACCAGCTGGGTGACCCTGGGCCGGTCCCTCTCTCTCTGCCCTAGGAAAGAGGCAATGGCTAACCACTTCCAAAAAACCTTGCCAACAAAACTGCAGGGACTTGTCTAGAGAGTCTCCAGGAGTCAACACTGACTCGAAGGTGCACACTTTTACTGCCTGTAAAAGTGGCAGGGTTTGTTCTCTGCTTCTTTTGCAGGAAGTAAGCAATTTTCTTAAAGAACTCAATGTAGGAGAAAAGGAAGGGTTTAGAACAGTGTTGTCCAAACTTGGCCACTTTAAGATGAGTGGACTTCAACTCCCAGAATAATTCACTGTCCCTGGGAGCAGCATCTTACTGCCTGTAAAAGTGGCAGGGGTTGTTTTCTGCTTCTTTTGCAGGAAGGAAGCAATTTTCTTAAAGAACTCAATGTAGGAGAAAAGGAAGGGTTTAGAACAGTGTTGTCCAAACTTGGCCACTTTAAGATGAGTGGACTTCAACTCCCAGAATAATTCACTGTCCCTGGGAGCAGCATCACAGGGAAAGCCAGAACTGTGGACAAGCCTACTAGGGGCTGACCTTAGACATATTCACACACGTATATATCCTGCATGCATACAAGGGGGTGTAAAAGGATGATCTGCACCCTACAATCTTCATCCCATTTTCCCTTCCTAAAAGATTCAGAGGCACACATTCAAACAGATGCCACAATCGTTAAACAATATTCCCTAACCCTAAATGTCTGCATGTTTGTTTATTTTTAAAAGTGGCACTTACCTTCTTGAAAATGGTTGGGTTTCCGCTGTAAATCTGAAAAGAAAGAGTTTGTGCGTGGGGACAATATTTAGCAATGCCTCACTATGGACTATTTATTTATTTGCACAATTTATATAGCCACCCGTCTCACCTACATGACTGTGGCTGCTCACAGAGTTAAAACACAATAAACAAATACAAATTGCTGTTTTTACTTTGGTATAAAATGTTTACTTGCTGATATTAAATGGAATTGTCACCCTATTTCTGGCCAGCTTCCTATATCTTTCTTAGATATGCATGGGGAGAGGTTAAAAAATAGTTGTACCTATTACTGCTGTGAAGAAGATCAGAAGCCAGTTCTTTATGTCTTTATATCTTTTTTCTTTTTCTCTACTTTTCTTCTACTTTTTTTCTTTTTGCATTTTTAGCTTTTTCTTTTTGTTCTCCCTTTCTTCTTTTTCATTCTACTTGAGTTTGTGTTAGTTCTTACTACTATGGTTAAAACTTTCAATAAAAATGACATTTTAAAAAATGGAAGATGAACAGGTTAAAGAGTACGTGATAAAATGGGCTAAGAATTTTGGTTACAACATGCAAATGGAACAATGAGAAGGAAAGTGGTTACAAGGACTGAAATTTACTTTGTCTCGTAATTTAAGAGAGAATTGTTATAAAATGATATATGATTGGTATGTGTCACCAGACATATTATCTAAGACGTATAAAGGTACCTCTAATTGTACCTCAAGAGTATGAAGGGATATTTTACAATGTCTGGTGGACTTGTAAAAAAGCATAAAGAGACTGGATCCAAATACATGTGATGATGCAGAGAATTTTAAAAATTAATATTCAGTTGAAACTAGAACTTTTCTTACTGGGACTTATGGATAGCCAACTCAAAAAGACTCAAGGAAGATTGGTTTTATATACTGTATGGTAACTGCAGCGAGGTTATTATATGCACGAAGATGGAAGAATACAGAAATACCCACGGTGGAGGAATGAACTGTGAAGATGGCAGAACTTGCAGAAATGGCTAAATTGACTTGTTTGATTAGGGAAGGAGCAAGAACTCCTTTTGTAAAAGACTAAAACCCTTTATGAACTTTTTGCTGAAAATTGATAAAAATGAACCAGCGATCTCTGGATTTGCTGATTAAAAAGGGCTGCATATGGGAGGAAGGGAACTACGCTATGTTATTTGGGAGGGTGGAAACGGTATTGTTTGTAACTGCTGCAAAGAAGATTGGAAGTTGCTTCTTGAAATATTCCTTTTTTTGTTTCTCTTTTCTTGATCTATACTGTTGTTCACTTTTTCTCCTATCTTTCCTATCTTTCTTTTTATATCTTTTTCTCTTTCTTATATATATATATTTTATTTTTCTGTAGCTTTTAACTTTGTAAAAAAAAATTCTTCAATAAAAATTATATATATGAAAATGGGCGTAGCTTTGACAGCACCATTATGGCGACCATCTTGACTTTTTTGACCACACTGTGGATACTTCTAAATGAAAGAAAAATAATAATAATTGGCAGTTTGAGAAGACAGTGATGCAACAGCCAGCTTGCTTTGTCATTGCTACAATGATCAAAGATAACGTTGACAGTTGGGTTTGGAAGATAAATCCACTGTTTTACTCAAGAGGGGAAAGTTCCTCTTTTCATCCTGCTTTTTAGCTTTGACATTGAACTCCATACTTGAATTACATTGTCCTAATTCAATGGGTTCAATTGCCTAAGTTAAAGGGCGGAATTTCTTGAGCAAGTGGAGAAACAAATATTGGTTAATTCTCTCCTGCTTCTTTCTCTTCTTCCACGATGGTTGCAATATCCAAAGTTTTCTATTCCCATCTTAGCTTAAGCAGTTTCATGATCTGTCTGGGCTGTGAATGATGATCTATTTTAATTATAGTTACTGAGACTAAGCCAGCTTCATAATTTATGCAAAGTGTTTGGGTGGCATACTAAGATAAAGGATGGTAACAAATACATTTACTCAATGCCTTGCTTGCACGCTCTAGATGTTCCCGCTACTCACTGGGAGGAACCAACTGGCATATGTGAGACATGCAAGTAATGTTTCCTTGACATCATCTTGTAGTTTAGCTTGTCATGTGAATGTGGCTATGGTGTGAAATCATGACTGTCTTCATTAATTATACTTACTGTTTTCATTAGCCATAGTTTATAGTACGTGAATTTTATTTAAATGGATCTAACAATGTGTTCTTTGTCATAAGATCACCCAGTCTGAGCCTATGCAATGAGTCCCATTGTACTATTTAGGACAAATTCACCAAACTCCAATCAAGAATGAAGTTGACAAAAAGGATAAGAGACACCCCATCCCCTCTCCAACCCCAGCCTAGATCTTGGAGTAACTAGAAGCATGCTAAACCCAGAGGGAGTAAATAGCAGAGCAAACTGTATTGAGAAAAATTGCACTGATGTGTTACTTCATCATCTGTTTGTCATAATGATGGACATTCCGTTGGTTAAAAAAAGGAAGAAGTGTGTGTGTGTGTATTTTGTCAAATTGATATGGCCACCCATCTCACATGGAGTGACTCTGGGCGGTATACAATAAAACCAGGAATTTAAATATGATAAATGTATCACATCAAAGAATGCTAAGATGCTCACCTCTGTGATTACCTGATTCGTCTTTGCAATATGTGATGTAATTATACTTGATCAAGATCTCATTAAAGATAAACTCTCCTTTAAGTTGAATTTGGCTACAGGGACCCATATCTGATTGTTTTTGTTTTTTGCAAGACTACAGAAATGATTTTGCCATTGCCTTCTTCCACGAGTCACTTATAGCCCTGGTGGTCTCCCCAACAAGCACTACCAAATCCTGTTATTTTTAAAAATAAACAGGTCAATATAATGATTCAGAAATATCCTTTCTCCTTTTACTGTATGTTTGGTAATAGATTCTATTTTTCAAATGTACTTATATAGCTAACTGTCCATGTCTCACTAATTAACCTCCGTAACATTGTGGCTATTCAGCTGAGAGTAGCCATAAAAGGTATACATCAGTGTTCCTCAACCTTGACCGCTTGAAGCTGTGTGGACTTCAACTCCCAGAATTCCCCATGCTGGTATACATGATGTGGGACCACTCAATTTCTAGAACATGATCTGTGAGAATAAAATGGGGGTATTAGCTCATTGCTTTGAGCTCCATAGGGAAAGAGGAAGAGGACTGATTCAAATGAATATCTTAAATATGTACATTCACCCCTTCTTCACAAATGGTTATTGGCTCTCCTCCACAGGCGCTGTAAATTCAAGCAGTCCCAATTACACTAAAGATGGGACAGAATCTGTCCATTTAGAATGCATGGCACTGTTGCGTATTATACCCTGTGCAAGAGAAATGTGGGTTCACACTAGAAATTACTCCCCATCACGTTCTTCCAAAGATCTGAAAGCAACATCAGAAGATCTGTCTGTGCAGAACTATTGCTCTTATTGGTGAACTGCTGGTCTAAAACAATGATTTTTTTCTGCAATGACCTCTAATGCTTTAAAAACCAAGTTTTTATTAGGAGATGCTACTTTCTAGAGTTCAGTCCAGCAAATAGTTTCTCTGTGTTAACTAGAAATGGGGAAAAGATCATGTCTAGTTGTGCATTCTCTAATTTTTATACTTCTCTATTCATGTTCTAATGCAGATTTCTTGTATTAAGAAGAACCAATATAGCTTTCTAAATATTTTATAAATGCAACTTACATGACATTCTTGATTAATCTTCCCTGGCTTGGTAGAGTTGCTTGGAGATTCTTCTTGTAGCTCAAATCCTGCATTATCCATCTTACATTAGCAAAGTAGAATTCTGCATGCATCAAAAGGAAAAACCAAAATTATCTTGGTTCTATCACTAATACTTCAGTAGTTGAAGGAGGCAACTGATTTTTGTTTTATGATAGGAACTTGGTAATAGAAATTTCAGTGTGAACGTAGGATAGAATGCAAATGAGGATATCCCCTTTTTTAAACAGAACTATTTCTATCAGGAAGCATTTCACAGTGACTAGTCTATTTCTAAATTTAGCCATAAATTCTTCAGTTAACCAGCATAACAAAAGCAAGATGATAGCTAGATAGGTGACTGATAGCTAGCTAGAGACAGACAGACAACAGACACCAGGTGGGAAAATAGAGACTCTTTACTAGTAAAGATGTTAAGGAAAATTGATCATTCTTAGAACGAGCTTGGCAGCTCCTCAGTCTGTGCTGGGGTGAGAAAAGGAAGGTGCTTTACCAGCTGCTGGTTGGCTGGACCTTCTCAGTGTTGCTGCTGGAGTGGTGAAGCTGCTGGGCTTGGCTTCTCCTTTCAGCTCCTCTGCTGCTGGGTTGGTGAAGTCCAAGCCTGCTCCTCCTGTACCTTCACATATGTTGAGCTGATGGTTGCCCCACTCCCTCAACTGCAATGCCTTCCCTTCTGCTCTCTCACACACAACACGAATCCTCCTCCAAACACAACCCCACACCCTGGTGCCCTTGGCGTCTTCCTTTTATAATTGGAAACTAAGTGTGGTGCAATGCTCTTCAGGCTGCCTTGAAGTCCCAGGGGAGAAGCAAAAGGGAAGGAAGAGCTCATGCTGGCCACGCAAAGCTTTCCTTCCACAGGGATATACAACAATTACCATGGTGTGGGGTTGTGTTTTTCACACTATTCTTAGCAGGACACATGCTGTTGGAAAGGGCCATTGAGGCCAAATCCACCCTCCTGCTCAGTGAAAGAATCCAAGTTAAAGCATCCCAACATGGTTGTCTAGTTTCTGCTTGAAGACATCCAATGAAGGGTTTCATACTATTTCCTGGGTGACTGATTCCACCATTAAATTGCTCATATTTGTAGGAAGTGTTGTTCAACATTCAATTGGAATCTGTCTTCCTTAACTTAAGACCATTACAGGTAGTCCTCAGTTAACAACAGCAGTTGGGACCAGAATTTCCGTCCCTAAGCAACATGGTCATAAAGCGCAATGTCACGTAACTTACTCAGTACTTAGTAATGGCAGTTCCAGCACTTCCGGTTGCCATCGTTAAGTGAATTAAGTGTGCCATCCCATGGCTGCCATTTTCGACCTCCTGCCAGCTTCGTCATTGACATCGCTTGTCGGAAGCCAGCAGTGAAGGTCGCAAATGGCGATTACGTGACCACAGGATGCTCTGACATCGTCATTGCGAGCCAGTCGCCGAGTGCCTGGATTGTGATCACATGACCATGGGGACACTGCAACAGCTGGAACTCTGAGGACCAGTAGTAAGTCTCCTTATTCAGCGCCATTGTCAGTCCGAACAGTCGCTAAGTGAGTGGATGTTAAACGAGGACCACCTGTATTTGTGTCTGCCATTCGGGAGTGATAGAAGATTTGATTTTATTCTACATACAATCTCTTTGGGCACTTGAAGAAGCTATCCTACTCCCTTGTTATCCCTTCCCAAAGCTAAACATGCCCAGTTCCTTCAGTCTTTCCATGAAAGACTTTCAGTTTCCTTGCAAGGTTTTGCCCCTTTTGGATTTTCTGAATGTTTAAGTATTTTTGCCATTGAATGTTTTCAAAGCAAGTTCCCAACCCCCACCACTCTTCATTGCATTTCTCTGCACTTGTTCGTTTCTCTGAATTTCAACAGAGTACTCAAGGTGGAGCCTGACCAACACAGAATATACAGGAACTATTACTTCCCATGATTTGGAAATGATCCTTCTATTGATGCAGCTCTTTCCTTTTCAGCAGCCACCCCACACTGCTGACCCATATTCAGCTTGCAGATGACTACTCTTACCAAGCCAGGTATTCTCCATTCTATATAGTTTTATATTTTTCCCAAGTGAAAACTTTGCATTTGTCTCTGTTGAATTTCATTTGGTTGTTTTCAATCCATTTCTCTAATCTATCAAAACAATTTTTGCTGTCTTCTAGAAGTCCTCCTGGACTTACAGCACATGCTAGTACAGCAGGTGAAGGCCATAGCAAGGACCTTTGCTAGCGCCAGCTGTTTTACCAACTGCAATCTTTCCTGGATCAACAAGCGGTGGCAAGTGATACATTTCATATGATCTACTTGGGAATGCCCTTGAAAAGGTCTCAGAAGATATAGTTGATGCAGAATGTGGCAGCTTGCTTGCTGACAGGTGGTAGCCAGTACAGGATTGACATATACTGGAGCTGCATCGGCTGCTGGCTGGTCCAGTTCAAGGCACTTATCATCCCCTAGAAAGCTCATTATAGTCCTTGTTATCTTCAGGACCATCTGCTCCAAGTAGAATCTGCCCATCTAATATACACTGGCTGAGAGAGCTGGCTGTGGCTGCCACCCCATAAAGGCTAAGGGTCTGTAGCTCAGAGGCAGACCTTCTTAGTCACAGCCTTTTGCTCTGGACTACCTTTCCCCTTGAGGTTATGAGGATTCCCTCCAGACTAAAATTTAGAAAAGACATCAAGTTGGTTCTTTTTCGCAGAAGCTTTGGAGTAACTAGTGTCCTATACTGGGGACCGCTATCTTTAGTTGGCTTTAAATTGTTAATGATTAGAGGTGTTATAGCTTTCAATGTTATTTATTGTTGTAGGTGTTGCAATATGGTTTTGTTTGTTTTATGTAGGGAAGCTACCTACAGTCTTTGACGATTCTAGGGAGCTTCCATACAAATGCAGGTAATAAATCAATAGATGAACATTACCTACCTTATCCTATTTTGTGTTATCTCTAAATCTCATAAGCATTCCCTCCACCTCTTCATCCAAGTCTTGAATGACAATTTTGGGCTCAGGGCTGAATTCTATGGTAGTCCATTTGATATCTCCCTCCAGTTTCATGAGAATCATTGATGAACATGTGCTGAGTATGGTTTTAACCTAAGACATGGCACCAAGTCCACGGTTAACCAGTATGACACATAGTATGATGGAATGGAATTATGAAGGCCAAGCTCAGGGAGATAAACCTTTTCTTAGCTG